ATTCAGTGAAAACCGGTCAATAGTCACAATTGATTTGTACAGTTTTTCCACTTCGCTACTGAATTTAACGTCTGGATTTTTTCGCAAATGAGAGGAAGTATCAGCTGTTGAAGAAGGCCCACGATAGACCCCCACTTCCTAGAAATATGCATCCCATAATCGATATGGAAGTAGTAAAACTGGAGCCATTCGAAGGAGTGCGTCAGGGAAAACATCTGTTCGCGGATACATCCGGTGCCTAGGCGCGTTTTAATACGCATGCGGCTTTCAGCAAATGCTCCTCATCAAACCCGGCACAATATGTGTGTACAGGTGTTGCAAAAATACTTGGACCAGGACCTTGAAAATAACCGACGATAAGGATTCCACCGTCCATTTCATTTTCATCATTTCTCATTGAAAAAAAATGCGAGAAAACAGATAAAAGCGGAAGAGGCAGTGTGAAACACGTTGTTATTGATACAACTGTACCAGTCCACTTTTCTCGTCTCCCTCCAGTCGACAGTTGAAACGACAAAGGAAATAAAAACCTCTCTCAATTCCGTGTGCCACACGTATTTTTTTTTCTCCTCAATCCAACTCCATTTAACAAAAACGAGAATGATTCAATGAGTGAGAGTTTTTTTTTTCGCCACAGGAAATATCAACGAAATCGTCTATTATATTGTAAACCTAGAACAATAGGCGAATGAAAGGTGGCTAGGAAGCAGCAAAAGAGGATGAATGAGAACCGTCTGAGTGAGCCTAGATTTTTCAAGGTCGCCACTGTCCCTTTTACCTCCAACTCACCGTCGGAACCGAAAGAAATATATAAGCGATTGCCTTCGGAGTTGGCCGTAAACCTCGCGGGCTCCCGTAATTACTGACATTGTGGTGGGAAGCTATCGTTTTTCGGCAGTTTGATTTCAAAATCTTCTCTTCTCCCTCTTCCTCCTCCTCTTCCTCCTCCTCCCCCACCCCCTCCCTCGCCATCGAGACGAGAAGCCAAAAAAATCGCGAGATAAAAAGCGAAAGAATGACTTTCATTCATTGATGATTCGGAAGAAATGGAGGAAATGGCGAGTTTAATCAGTTATGCAAGAGCCTGGTGGTCGAATTATTGAGCGAAGGGTTGGCCCTTTCATCCGGCACAACCAGCTGGCTCGGCTACAGTGACGCAAAAGACGTTACGTCAGACTGTGTCGAAGCGCAAGAGCTCTTCCCATATACATATGATCCAACAATATAAATGTATTATATCAAATTGCGAGTGGAGGTGAGCGGAAAAGAGCGAGAGATACTGTCGACATGGCAACGTCGTTCAATTTCACCCCTTCCCCCCTCCGTTCTCATCACCTCTTCGTACATTATTACGTCTGTCGCATGTTTGTCGTCATCGTTCCGCATTGATACGATATGAATTCACCGATCGACGAGTAACCCCTCAACAATAACAATAAAATTCACTCTGCGCGTTGAGAACTCGGGAATTTTTAAATTCGATATTGCGCGGGGATGAGCGGATGAGTGGGATCAAGTTCATCCAAATCGTATCAACCAATCGACCCGTGTCCCCTCTCCGGGCCACTGGCTCTTGGAGGAGAAAATGTTATCAGAGGATTTCGTAATGATCGGGTTTTCTACCTCTTGAAAATAGACGTTAATTTACAGTGCTGGGTGCCTCCCTCGCTCGCCCTTGTATATCTTTGCATAATAATAGATCCCGCATCGATCGACCCATTATGTGGCCCTATACGTGCCATGTGAGAGCCGAAAATCCACTGCACGGAACGGAGTTATTCTGAAATGGACCGTTTTTACTTGTTAATCTGTCGAGATTTTGAGAGGGAAATTCAACGATTGTTTTGCGTTTTCGAGGGATTTTTTTAGGTTTGAAAATGAGACAATTCGTAAAATTCATATTGAGGATGTGAGAGATTTGAGTTTAAGAATCGTAATGCATGATTTCCAAGGACATTCAGAAGTGTTGAATTACTATAAAAAAATTTATAAAACATAAGACCAAATTTATGTTTTATTAAACATATTCCGCATTGATTGACCCATTACGAGGCCCTAAATGAGTTGCATTGGAGCTGCAAATCCACTTCACTGAAGAGTTATTCTGAAATGGACCGTTTTTATTTGTTAATCTGTCGAGATTTTGAGAGGGAAATTCAACGATTATTTTGCGTTTTCGAGGAATTTTTTTAGGTTTGAAAATGAGACAATTCGTAAAATTCATATTGAGGATGTGAGAGATTTGAGTTTAAGAATCGTAATGCATGATTTCCAAGAACATTCAGAAGCGTTGGATTACTATAAAAATTTTTATAAAACATAAGATCAAATTTATGTTTTATTAAACATTACACCCGAGCTGCAAATCTACTCCACCGCAACTTCACATTTCCAGAGTGAAATTGCACGATTTTTTTCATTCTAAAGGGATTTTTTCAGGCTCGATAACGAGACCTGAATTAAACTGGATCCATCGTATCGGGAGATACTGAAGATTGAAAACTTCAAGTTATCCCTAAGTGGACCTTTTTCACTAGTCAATGACTCGCCATTTGCAGAGTGAAATTGCACGATTGTTTTTCGTTTTGAAGGATTTTTTTTCAGGTTTGCAAATGAGACTTGATTCTCTGCCGAATCTAGACCAGAAAGGTTCGAGTCTAAAGAGTCTTGATGCACAAGTGCCTCGAACCATCAAAGTTTTTATAAAACACTAGGTCCTGCATCGATCGACCCATTACGCAGCGCTAACCGTGCCACATGACAGCTGCAAATCCGCTCCACCAAGCAGAGTTACTCCGAGCTGGACCATTTCTACTAGCTAATACCTCAAAATGAGACCTGATACTGAAGAGTCTCAATGCACAAGTGCCTCGAACATCCAGAAGTGCTGGAGAACCCCAAAAGTTCATAAAACATGAGACGAACTGGACCGCCGTTTCTACTTGTTAATACCTCACCATTCGCCCACCAATTTTTTCATTTTGAAGCTATTTTTCCCCTCGAAAGTGGACCTGAATCTCCAAAATCGTTGCATCCAGCGCAAGACTCCACTACATAATTCCCTCAAGCATCCAGAAGCGTTGGAGCGCCACAAAAGGTATTACAAAACATTAGATCAATGTCACGCGTCAGTGAGAATGATTCAGTGATTGGGGTCTAGGTTGGGAATGACTGATGACGCTCCACCTGAGTCCACAACTATCATTAACCCTGCAACTGTGGACACGTAACATCGTAATATTTGGAAATGTCAAAAGCGAGGAACTCGACGATTCCGGCGATTCGTATGGGCATGTGGACGCGGGCGTTGGGTACGTAGTGTATTTGCCGTTGGTTGGCGCGCAAGTCCGCGTTGCCACGATCGCCCTGGCCCACTGACCTATATTGCAACAGCGGGTACAGGTCCCGCATACGAGTCTCGTAGCTGGCTTCTGCCTTCTATCCAAGCGTAAACTCGAACCCGACCAATACTTGGCGACCAGCGTGAGCCACAAGAGGCAGCAAACCTGGGGCCGCACACTTTTTTCATTTCCCCCTCTCAATTTTTTTTGCAATGGCAACGAGTCAAACGTTTCACTTTTATCATTGACTCACTCTCCCTCTAGTGATCCTCCATCTTGTGCCCCTTCCACCGTCAGTGGGATCTTCACATTGTTGGCGGAGTTGAAAGGGATAATGACGTCTCCTTTCTGAAGATTTTCCATTCATTTTTTTTCCCTCGTGATTTATTGAGAATCTCATTAGGGGATTGATACCATTGGTAGACACCTTGATGAGTACGGAATTTGGGGGGGTGGAGGGGCAAGGTTTAACGGGGAAACTCATCGGAGAACACCTTGCTCCAGGATGCAAGGTGTTTTATTTCAACCATTCATTCCTCAAGTAGGCGGACGTAAAAAATAAAAATAGAGCCACGTCCCAATCTCCAATTCGTGCGAAACACGTTTAAACTGGAACGTCACTCTTTATCGCCTTTATTTTCGGTATTTTCATCTCGTTTTTGCTATTTTTTAGTGTTCACTTTGGTTTATGAATTTGTTTATTGCAGGTGTGAAGCTGTTAAACGTCAACTCTAGACTGTTCATTGGTGGAGAAATGGATTGGGAGTTAAATTTGTTCATTTCCGATTAATTCATCAGTGTTCAATAATTCATCATCATTTTTTCGTATTATCGAACGACAAATTCATCAGTTCAACTGATAAGCCGTACACCTGATTGATGCCCCAGAAGTAATAAAAAATTCAGTGCTTTATTTTTCCCGAACGACGCTGGGAATTCGTGCACGTCTGTTCGATTCACATGACGTACAGCATGTAATCTCATTGCGTTGGGTTGAGCCTCGCTCCCAGTGTCTCTCATTCATCACATCACCCAGCAACTCATGAAAGTAATTCTTTTTTTTTTTTCATGAATAACACAATGTTCTCTTATCAATAAGTAATTGAATGAGAAAATGCACCTTGACACGGAATTGCTTCCTCACTCATCCACGAGTTCGCTCGATCATTCCTCCTCTCGCATGCAAATCAATGCATCACTTCCTTGGAATGTTCAACTGTTAAATAATAAATAATGGAGTTGAGTTGAGCCGAACTCATTGAATCTGAATGATAGTCTTCCTTCATCAGATGGCCTTCAATTATAGTCCACCATTACCTCCACAAATCAAGTGAATTGTCCGAATAAAATGAAAAAGAATGAGGGGGAGAAAAAATTCACTGCGCGTTACAGTTCAATGACGCGTACACATCAGCTTCGTTACCAACCCAAATTATCTAGGACGATTTCATTTTCGTTTTTTTGTAAAAGAAACCGAAGGACACGTGCAAGATTGCCCCTCTTGGAGTCATGCAATTCAATTTACCCAAACGAGCTAAAATCACCTGGACTGAAATGACGGCTGGCTGAGAAAGAGGGAAAAAGGAAGAGATGAAATTACGGGAAAATCATTATAGTTCACATTTATTCCGATAATTTCCACTTCTTTTTCTCTTTCAGGCCTGGCCCTGGGGAGTTGCAAGACCCATTGTGGGTTAAAATGAACGCGATCACTGGTGGCATCACGAAGAAGAGAAAGAAATCAGATGCCCTACCTCAGTCACAAATGTAAGTAATGAGGGGGATAGGAAATTAGTGAGACGACATAAACGAGGAAAAACGATGAGGAAAAATTGGCCTCGTTCGAAGGATATTTGACTATTGTCCCAGAATGGATAGATCACCCGCACGTAGGGGTGAGGTTGGGGTGCTCGTCGCTACGATGGTTAGAGGATTTAACCATATCGAGCAGGAGAAGAAGAGATTGCGGTGAAAGATCTCTTTCTGAAAGTGATTTTTAGCGACAGAACGCTAAAATAACGTTGAGGTTGCCCAAATACTTTGGATTTCTCTGAATTCCGTGAATTTTTTTTATTTACGGTTGAACATTAGGTTTCAGGACATCTTGCTATGATTTTATTACTAATAATGTGAATCGGAAAATCGGATTCTTCACTGAAAAGTGGGGGAATATTTGAGAAATCCGTTGGAAGGATAGATTATCCACAGATAGGGGTGAAATGGATCTTTTTAAAAGTGACTTACAACGACGAAACGTGAAAACATCCTTGAGATCGTCCAGATACTTGGGATTTTGGATGATTTTATTCTCAATAATGTGAATTTCAAAATTAAATTCTTCATTGAACCGTTAGGGAATATTTTCAGAAATCAGCTTCTAGGGAACGAAATAAACTCATTGTAAGGGTGCATTTGCAGCAAGAGTGATTTGTATCGACGAAAGTGAAAACATCGTTAAGGTTGTCCAGGTACTTTGGATTTTTTTTTATTCCGTTGAAATTTTTGCCTGTATTTATAATTGAAGAATCAGGTTTCTGGATCTCTTGAAATGACTTTATTCTCAATAATATGAATCTCTGAATTGAATTTTTCATTGAACCGTTGGGGAATATTTTAGAAATCCGCTCTGTTTAAAAGTGATGTATATTGACAGAATGTTAAAATATTCTTGAGGCCAAATAGTTTGGACTTTCCTTTCAGGGGCCAAAAATCTCATTTTAGAAGTGATTTATAATGACGAAACGTCAACACATCATTGAGGTGGTCCAGATACTTTAGATATTCCTTAACTCATCAGGTTTCGGGACCTCTTGCAATGATTTTAATCTTAATAATGTGAATCTTAAAATTGAATTCATCAATGAGCCGTTCGGGAATGTTTTAAAAATCCACTGCTAGGGGACGAAACAAACTCGTTCTAAGGGCGATTTGCAGCAAGAGAGGATAGATCGTCCATAGATAGGGGTGAAATATATTTTTTTAAAGTGATGTATATCGACAGAACGTTGAAATATTCTTGAGGCCCAACAGTTTGGACTTTTCTTTCAGGGATGAAATATCTCGTTTTAAATGTGATTTATAATGACAAAACGTGAAAACATCCTTCAGGTTGTCCGTTGAAATTTTTTCACATTTATAGTTGAACATCAGGTTTTAGGGCCTCTTGCAGTGATTTTATTCTTAATAATGTAAAACAAAATTGAAATTATCATTGAACCATCAGGGAATATTTTCAGAAATCCGCTGCTAAGGAACGAAATAAAGTCGTTCTAAGGGCGATACGCAGCAAGAAAGGCTAGATCATCCATAGATCAGGATGAATTATCTCGTTTTAGAGGCGATTTGTATCGACGATACGTGAAAACATCATTAAGGTTGTTCAGGTACTTTGGATTTTTTTTATTCCGTTGAAATTTTTGTCTGTATTTATAATTGAAGATCAGGTTTCTGGATATCTTGAAATGATTTTATCCTTAATAATGTGAATCTCTGAATTTTTCATTGAGCCGTTGGGGAATATTTTAGAAATCCGCCGCTAGGGGATTAAATGAACTCGTTCTAAGGGCGATTTGTACCAAAAAGGGAAATATCTCTTTTTAAAACTGATGTATATGGACAGAACGTTGAAATATTCTAGGTCAAATAATCTGGATTTTTCTTTCAGTGATGAAATGTCTCATTTTAGAGGTGATTTGTAACGACGAAACGTGAAAATATCCTTGAGGTGGTCCAGACACTTAAGATTTTCCTCAACTCGTCAGGTTTCGGGACCTCTTGCAATGATTTTAATCTTAATAATGTAAATTTTTAAACTGAATCGTCATTGAACCGTTAGGGAATATTTATCAAACTCGTTCCAAGGGCGACTTGCAGCAAGGAAGGATAGATCATCCATAGATAGGGGTGAAATATATATTTTTAAGAGTGATGTATATCGACAGACGGTTCAAATATTCGTGAGGCCAAATAATTTGGACTTTTCTCTCAGGGATGAAATATCTCGTTTTAAAGGTCATTTATACCGACGAAACGTGAAAACATCCTTGAGGTTGTCCAGATACTTTGGTTTTTCCTCAATTCCGTTGACATTTTTATCCATATTTACAGTTTAAACATCAGGTTTCAGGGCCTCTTGCAATGATTTTATTTTTAATAATGTGAATCTTAAAATTAAAATCATCATTGAACCGTTAGGGAATATTTTCAGAAATCCGCTGCTAAGGGACGAAATAAACTCGTTCTAAGGGCGATATGCAGCAAGAAAGGATAGGTCATCCATAGATCGGGATGAAATATCTCGTTTTAGAGGTGATTTGTATCGACGAAACGTGAAAACATCGTTAAGTTTGTCCAGGTACTTTAGATTTTTTTTTTTAATTCCGTTGAAATTTTTGTCTGTATTTATAATTGGCCATCAGGTTTCAGGGCCTCTTGCAATGATTTTACTCTTAGTAATGTGAATCTGTTAATTGAATTCCTCATTGAAACGTCAGGAAATAGTTTGAAAATCCGCTGCTAGGGGACGAAATAAACTCGCCCTGAGGGCGATTTGCAGCAAGAAAGGATAGATTGTCCATAGATAGGGGTGAAATATATCTTTTTAAAAGTGATCTATATCGACAGAACGTTAAAATATTCTTGAGGCCAAACAGTATGGACTCCCTTTCAGGGATGATATATCTCACTCTGGAGGTGATTTATAACGACGAAAGGTGAAAACATCCCTGAGGTTGTCCAGATACTATAGATTTTCCTTAACTTCGTTGACATTGTTGGCCACATTTGTAGTTGAGCTATCAGCTTTCAGGACCTCTAGCTGTGATTTTAGTCTTAATGGAAATCTTGAAATTGAATAATTCATAAAACCTTTACACAATATTTTCAGAAATAAGTTCCTAGGGGACGAAATAAACTCGTTCCAAGGGTGATTTGCACCAAGAAAGGATAGATCATCCATAGATAGGGATGAAATATCTCTCTTTGAAATTGATTTACATCGACAGAACCTTAAAATATCCTTGAGGCTATCCAAATAGTTTGTAAAATTCTCAGTTCCGTTCAAACCTTTGTCTACAACTGTAGTTGAAACATCAGGTTTCAAGAACTCTTGCAATGATTTTATTCCTGTAAATTTGAGTTCTTTAATTTCACTCTTAATTTGAACTATTAGAGAATGTTTTAGATATTCGAAATGAAGAGTTGGGTAGTAAAATAATTGGGACGTTTTTAATTTCAGTAACAAGTGCCTTAACGAAAAGAGACGACGCACCCAGGAGAACCTGTATATCGACGAGCTTGCCGAGTTGATTTCCGCCACGGACATGAGCTCTGGCAAGACCGACAAATGTCAAATTCTCCAGAGAACCGTTGATCAGGTGAGGAAATGCGATTATTCATTTTTTTTTTAATAACTTTTATCATCAATCACCGAATAATCGATTGATTGCACGTAGTTTAGTACTTTAAATTGCACGATACAATGGAGGAAAGTGTGAGCGAAGTATAAAGTTCAATCACCAACCGGGTGGCTGAGAATAAACTGCAAGGTCGTTAAAAGAGAATTGAACTGAAATAAAAAGAAAATGCCAACGTTGACAACAACTTTGTCGATGATGTAGTAACGCGTTTGGGGGGACTCGCGATGCCTCCAGAAATCATCCACCACTTTAGTCCATCGTAAACACTAGTTTTTAATTTTTATAATAATGATCGCTGGACGGGATGGGAGATTCAACACTCGATCAAATTAATTCACTCGGCGGAGTGAAAAAATACTTGATTACGAGACTGAGTGATGCGGAGAGAACTTTGAGGTTTTCGTTAGGGGTTTCGTCGTAGATTTATTTTATTTTATTTTTATTTTTTATTTTTTACAACGATGGTAATAATATTTCTTGTATGTGGTGTGTTTCGGAGCTGAGATGCGGCAACATCGCCCTCGAGCCCCCGACGTTTGTCGGACTCTCTGTGGGAGTCACCGACTTCTCGAGGCCACGCGTTAACTCACATTGAGATTACGACGCGATCTATCGGCGCCGGGAAATATAAACGTCAAGGACGTTTTTCTTTTTCGTGGTCATAAAAAACTAACTCTGCCGGTAAATATTTTATCGGTGATTAATTGACGGAATTTCATTTGATTCAAACTTTTTCATTTATCTTGACGATTGGGGGGG